AGGGACAGGGCGTGATGAAGCGGAAGGCTGATGGGATGCTGGAGTGCCACGAATAACAATTTTTGCGGGCTAGTGACTCAAAGTTGAGTTGTCTTTTACAGATAGCATAATTAAATGAAGCCCTGTTCTTAGATAATCCAGATCAGTGAAGTAGCACTCAAGATGACAAGCAGACTAACGTGGTATTTACACTCAACGAACGAACAAACCAAGGGACATCTGGTTACTCGAAATTGGTGAGATAATTAGGGCGTATTAGTGGGGTTTTTCGATCGCCAGAATTGCTGAGTGCCAAGTCACCTATCTGAATTGTGGAGGATTTTGCTCCCGCAGTTTCAAAATACGTCATACCTGATAGGACCTCCACTTATCTGCGGGACGCTAATATGGAGCTTTGTGCTTGCATAACCAAAGGCGGCTGCTGTAATTTTTTACCGTCACGATTAGTTTTAACTCCAAAGTTTTAACTCCTGAGCGAATGTAGGAGTGTCTTTGAACCAGCAGAAGCTTGCCCTCCTCAGCGTATTCGACTACCTGAAAACCTGGAGGAGAATAGGTCATGTTTTCCAGAGTCATTAAAATCTGACATTTCAAAGCCAACCGTATTAGATCACGTGGAGTTTAATAGACGCAAATAACTTCCCCATTAACCTTTATTTTCGGATTCAAAAGCACAAGTGGCATCAATTTGAAACGTGCAGAGATAAGACGAAGGGAGAGGCAACGTCTGTAACTGTCTTCTTTACCAAAAATCTAGGTTCTAGCCTTGTTACAACATGACTTTTTAGAGCGAGCTAGGAAAACGCCATGGCAGGCACAACCGTCAATGTGCATTACTGATGCAAAAGCTTCTGCACAGAATACTATTTTGGTGAGCCCGATATGCTGACAAGGAATATGCCCCTGGACGTTTACATGAACAGAAAAATTCGCTTGTGTTCACCTTCGTAGACGTTACACACTAATGTGAGCTTACATATGACTTTAATATGGATGAGGCGCCCGGTACGAGCGAGTTACACAAATTCTGCTGCTACAAAAAGGCGACGGCGTGCGGCAAGCTATGGCAAGAATAAGCTCAAACTGCAGTCCATACCCACCGATCTGACCTGGGATTACAGCCATCTTAGGGCGCGTTCTAACCAGGAGAGACCACGCGATTTTGTGCGATTTTGTCTGTGTTTAGGACTATTGATGCCGCGCATTAGACCCCTCTAGATGAATGAGGGCACCTTCGCATGATGATTAACTAAGTGCGTTTGTAAGCAGTAAATCATAATCTAGCCAGTCACATAAGACTTCGATTGTGTACATCGTTCTTTCAATTTTGCTTAGTGTTGTATCAGCCAGTGATGTCGTGGGTGCCGCATCAGTGCAAAGTGGCAGTCGTAACTTTACATGGCTTCTGCGGAGCAATGCTTGCTACAGGTAAAGCGACGCTTAAGTTGCCAATGTGGTGTTAAATCCGCCCACTATGATCCTTTTAATTTTTGTCTGCTGTGAATATGTAGCCTGAGTCTGAGGTTTGCTATGGATGTCCACCTAAGTTCTAACATATGATGTTCATAGCCCCGTTTGAAGCTGAGTGGTGTTCCTACCCTAGCGCCTGTTTGCCTAGAAGGAAGCAACGAGGTGGCGAGCTGGAATAGGCATCATTAAAGTATTTGCAGTACATAATGCACGCTAGCTATTCGGTTTTAATGAACAAGCCCCGATATAGTCCGTAGCTGTCTCCAGTGACAGAGTGCATGCCAAACGAATTCGCCTAATACACTGATCGGACCATATTTTTTCTGTATCTGCTCCGTATTGGGGCAAGTAGTGGCATGCTTCCAAGCCATTTTAATCATAACGATCTCCCCATGGGGTGTCTAATGCTGTCGAAATGAATTTTACCGTTGAACAAACAGTGATTTCAAACTGCAGCGGTTACTTCTGTATCACCTGAAATGGTTCTTGCCCAGATAAAATGTCACGGTTTAGGGAACGGCTTACTATGAAGTTCCAGACAGTCTACGAAAATTTTATTATTTCAGTTATTTGGATTAAACTTCCTTGTCATCTGCCGCAGTGGAATTCATGCCAAAATGACCTGGATTTTCAAGTTTCGAAATATATTTTCGTTTGTTGTATATCGCAAGAATATTGCAACTTGACTGCACAGTTCCATTTATTTTTTGAGAACCATTTACAACTCGGACAACCTACAACTTTTGCCATCTTAAAGTTCTAGCGAAAGACAACTATGCAGCCGGTCAGTTTTTATGAGCTAATATATATCAGCGATGCACGGTCGAAATGCCATGTTTGGGGAATGTACGACGTGTATTAACATTTCTTCCAGTTTTGTGAATTCGGACGCTCCGCGACACTCTCTTTAAATCAACGTTACCAAAATGTGACCTACAACTCTTCAAACTTCTAAAACATGCATAATTCCCGGAATAAGTTGTTCGCAGGCCTTGGGAGTTTTTCTGTTATACTACACTCTAATTGATACTGCTGATGACGTTGCACTTCTGTTTATCTATTTTCCATCCAGCAACCCCAAACCGGTAGAATTACCGACAGATTTTCCTACACAAGACTACGATCCCCCTGCTGCATGCGCGTACAACTCTACTGAAATGATTAGGCCTGTTTCGCCAACCTTTCCCCAATGGCACTTAAACGGTGGGAAGTTCTGTCTGAGGAGGTAGTGGCTACGGGAACCGAGGAAGACTTCAAGATTCTTGGCATATATATGGGAACGAGGAATATAGGTTACGTTTGTGTTTGCTACACATCGGATACAAAAATATATCATCGAATACCGAGAGTGCGTAATGATGTGTCCAGTTTTGCGTGGGCTGATCGAGAGGTGATGAAGTTCATAAGAAACCCTCGATTGCCTTCTCATAAGACATACTGACTGATTCGACTGGACATTGGAAGTGAAGTATTCAGGTCCATATTCCGCCTAACAATCCTCGCCACATCCAGTCCTGTCAAGGCGTAATTACGAACGGCCTCTTACCGACTTGGTCTTCACGGTGGAGGACATTACTCAACTCTTGCACAAGATCAACCCATTCTGCTCTTATGGGGCCAACGGGGTCCCTCCAAGGGTCCTGGAGGAAACGTCGTCTACACCGGTAAATCATCTCTACATGGTGTTTCGTCAGTCGCTTGACGGAGGCCGTCTGCCCTCTGCTTGGAGGGGAGCGATTGTCTCGCCAGTCTACAAAACTGGCGACAATCGCCTGGCAGCTACAGGCCCATGGGCTTTTCTAGAGTGCCGTGCAAGGTAACGGAACGCATTCTGAAGCTTATTCTAGACCCCCTGCGTCCAACAACTTGATATCTCCAGTTCAATCCGGGTTTTTCCCGAACCGTTCTTGCGTGACGAACATGCTCATGTCTATGGACAGCTTGAACCAAGTCAAGGACGAGGGTCCCGCATTGGATGCCATATGCTTACAACCTCTCAAAATCATTTAATAGGGCCCCAGATGTCTCGCTGCTTCACAAACTGGAGTGTTACGGGATCCAAGGGAAAATCCTATACTGGATTTAGGCGTTCTTTCAGACAGATAATTCCGAATGAAAATAGACTCGACCTACTCCTTTCCAGCGCCGGTCTCCTCTGAGGTTCCTCAAGCTCCGTTTTTGGATCACTGCCGCTTGTGATATACGTTGACGCCTTTCCAGACGTGCTTCATGTCTGCCTTTTGCATACAAATTGACATCCCGGTGTTCAAATGCCAGTAACCCCCAAATGGATGTAGACGCTGCAAAGCAGTGACCGTTTGAATGGCACCTTTTTTGAATGACGAAAATTGCGTCCTTATGTCATTGGAGGAGACTCAGCGAATGACTTTCCATGAATAGTAAGAAAAGACCAGAAGACATTATGAGAGTATGCGCCAAAAAGGATATGGCTCCCTGGATCTCGTCAAACATACCTTTCTCACTGCACCGTGAGAGATAGGCCCAAAAGGCATTCGCCATTTTACGGATGATCCGACGCACCTTCTCCCGTATTACTCGCATGGACTTCCAAATACTCTATGGGGCCTACGTCAGACCGCTCCTTAAATACACCAACCATTTTGTCTATTGAGGACGCACGAAAGACGTCACTCTGATTGAGCGTGTCCAGCGAGCCGCTACGAAAATGGCCACCGGCCACAAATCCGTGGACTGCGGAACGCACATCGCGGTGCTTGATTCTTTTCCCTGGAGTATCGTCGCCTCCTGAGGGAGCTACTTATCACTTATGCTCTGCTTGAACAAGGCTTGGCAAGCAGGTTTTTCACCGTTGACCCAGCAAACACACGATGGAGAGCGCACACATTCATCAGGAAATTTTTTTCATTTCGAATAGTAGCTGCGTGGAATGAAATTCCTCCGACGGTTGTCCGCCCTCCTTCTAGAACCCAGTTCAAGGCACCATTAGGTACTTATCTACGTGAGTCCTCGCGCTGGCAAGCATTGTTTCGCGCTGAGAACTTAAAGAGCAGTGCCATCCCCTTTTTCATTAGTTCTTTTCAGGTAAACGACAGCTGCTGAACGAAAAAGACAAAACACACCCGGAAACTCAAGCAAAAGCCTCGATCCTGTGTATCAATCCGTGAATCCGTGAAAGATTATCAAAGGGGTCGATATTTATAAGGAGCAAGTCGCCTCACATGTTCAAACCCCCAATCTGGAGGATCAGGAGACTTGGTCATTCAGACCTACATCCACTGTCAACATGGTATGGGAGGCTCTGTGAGTGTCATATGAACTCTTCCCAGTATGGCTCAATGGGGTATGAAGGTGTACAAGCTGTCACCCCGCAGAAAGGCTGTCTCCGTGACGCATCATCGTGCCATGTGCCCGATGTGGCTCAGGACGCGTCCGCTGTGCCCGGGAGGCTGGGCAAAAGCCTCGATCCTGTGTATCAATCCGTGAATCCGTGAGTGCGTGAAAACTGAAGCTGTATGTGTTTTAGTCATTCTCTTCAATCGAGCGGCACATTCATATCAAGGCAGTCGGCATGACCAGTCGGCTGGGTGGCGATGGAAGGGTCGCGGTCCCTGTCCGTGCGAAGAGACACTCTCTCCATTTAGATGGTTCAGGAAAGAAACGTCGTAAAGGTAAGATTTCCGCTGGGGACTCGCTCCAATTTTCTTATCTGCATGATTACTGTCGCTCCCGATTATGAGATGAATTTGGGTCAAACCGGTGTTTACAGCTCAAAAGTGTGTTCAACTATATACTGGATATAATGAGTTAATTTTTCTTTCTGTTTTGGGGATGAAAGCAGACACTGTCATATGGCGTCCTTTATGGCGCATGATTTGCGGTCTGAAAATCGAAAAAAAATCCCGTCACAAACGCGATACAGGACATGACCTATATCGCGTTTGTGACGCGAGGTGATATGGTTTTACCGTGTGGTGGGTGCATCAAACGAAAGCAGCTGTGCTGTACAGTTCACAAATTCTTCTTCCTTTTGCTCTTAGTTGGGGCGAGATGGACCAAGTGGTTAGAGCACGAATTACTGACCGGAAGGTCCGTGGTTCCAAGCCGACCTCTGCCCCTCGACTTCCCCTGTCTAGGCTTGGGCACCCTGGCAGTATCACAGCCCTCGTGCTTCCGTCTGGTGGCATGGCAGCTAGGCACCGCAATGGTGCTACAGCTGAATGATTTATATTTTACATTATTTTGTATTTATTTTGGTCTTAGTCCTTCCATAACACGTGTTGCACGACAACATTTGGATGAATGTCTTTGAGCCAAGCTTCACTTAGCACCGATTACCTCGCATGTATGCGGTTCCACACCTGCAAAACCAAATGGGCGCGCTCGGTTAATTGAAAAAAACACATTCAGCTGTAGCACTTTCGGTGCTCAACTGCCATGCCACCCGTAGGAAGCACGATGGCTGGGATACTGCCAAGTAGCCCAAGCGTAGACAGGAGCAGTCGAGAGGTTCGAACCATGAGCCTTACCACTGAGTTATCTCACCTGATAACTTGCACAGCATTATATCATCGATGCCCGAACGGCTGGTCTGAACGTAGGAAAATCAGAATGGGTGAAAAGCAGCAAAGCAAGCCCCATGAGGGAGGTACAGAAAAGGTACCATCTGGGTGCAAGGGATGCTGTGCTTTGACTGAACCCACAAGCACCGTGTTGCTCGTACGCAGCGGTAGTGATTTCGGTGTTTTGGAATGAGGACTCCGAAGATCAGTATGGCAACAAACATCGTTGACAAATCGTGGTCGGACTCACGAGCACCCGGAACATTACCTCATGTCGGGGGTTTCTAACCATGACTTATTCACAAAAGACAGACAGGACATAGAAATGTTTCGCTTTTTCCTGTTTGAAATTATCAGTATAATTATCTAAGTTGAAGAGCTTGCTATCAAGATGGCGTCTACACTAAGGCCGGTGGACTTGGACTATCTGGATGGCATTGTCTTGTTAGTTGATGACTGCCAGTTCAAACGGTCTCCGAATAGAACTCTGGATATGATCACTAGTATCGGTACTTGTTTTTATCCTTAAAGTTCAGAGTCGCCTCAGGAATTTCGACCACCTTGTGTTCTAATACTTCAAGAATAGAAAATTCATTTTGTTGACAGGTTTATCCATTTCGGCTACTGCATAATACATGACAAACTCAGTGCGGGCATTTAATCACGAGCGATCGCAAACCCGCCATAAACACGGTACGGTTTCGAAGGCATCCGCTGTGTGTAGGAGCATCAAGACAAACGTGTATGCTCCTCGGGCCAGGCGAGCCATATGCGGCCAAATGTTTCAGACCTTTGAGTCGCTGGCTCTAGTCTCTTGAAATCACAAAGGCCGCTGCCCCGCGTTCCGAGCATTTGGGCCCCCGGATGGACCCTCACATTCTTCCAATACCTTGTTGGTTGCGTTTTCTAGTCAGTGACCCAATATGGGGTATCTGAGCCAAACCCCCTTCATCCTGGGTACCCGGGAAGTGTCATTGAGCTTTACAGCTCATCATTCATTGACTGTTTCCTGCGCGCCTTTCAACCAAGTCCTTTTGGTTCATTCTGCTGCCAACCATCTTACCGCTTCTCTGCATCTAACGCTCTGTTCAATGAAATAGGCCTAAGTAAAACCTGATTACGTTCAAGGGGCCTATCCCACACCTTGGCCTTCAACGTCATTACTCTGTATCTGTCCAAACTTTGTGTCCTCTTTACTCGATGTATGCGTCCTTTGGAACGCGCGTTCAGGACTGCCGTTTGGTCGTACACAAGCCGTTTGAGACGAATCAGTATTTCCTGCACTTGACTCTTCAGATGCCTGGTGATCTTGATGCAGTGACTCATGTCTGCGACGTGGGAGTTGTGCTTAGTCCAGGGCTGATTGCGCCTCACTGGTTCTCAGTATATGGTCGTTGTGCAGTTCGGTTGACGAATTCCATTAAGGTCAGGGTATCTCAATACGGTAAATAGGTCTTATTTATTGCATCGACATACGCTCCGGTAAACAGCAGCCATGAGGCTGATAAATATAGATTACAAATTTATCGGAAGCTTCCAAGGTTCCTTCAGTTAGCATGAAATGCTGATGGTAAGCGCTTTGAATGTTCAGTTCAATGTTTCAGCGCAAGCTCTCATGTGTTAGTAGGGGATCGCTAACTGCAAACCAGCCATGGACTCACTTGGATCGTGAAGCACTCAGGTACCGGTAGGCAGCTTCGATACAGGGTTTTCATTTTAGTGTGCGCCACTTGACTCCAACCACGGCATTGTGCGGTCACGTTTGTTTTCACTTCCTCTCTAGAACACACCGGCTGACGCAACGCCATTCCGTTCATCACTTGCAAAGCGTTCCTGCAGTCCGAAAATATCGCTTTCGGTTGGTCTCTATATTTGAGTGATGACTGAGAAAAGCTGGGAGTCATACCCACAGCTTTTGAAACCCCTTGAGCGAGGTCGCACTAACCCCAGTGAACACTGGGTCTGGTCATGGTCAACAGGTCTGATTGGTGGCCGGAAAACTATATAGGCAACAAACGACTGCGTGCACGCAGATGGCTTAGATATTGACTGCTAAGGTACCTCGGGATTGCCAGAGATGCTTATGGATAGAGAAAGCCCAAGAAATGGAGGAAACTTTTGGAAAGTGAGAACAGCCGTACCCTATTTCAGTCGATCGGTCCCACGAAAGCGGGTTCAAGAAAACGATTTTAGAAGGAAGCTACCTCGATTTATTCGCACAGATATCAGGTTGAGCGATCGGGTGAGCATTTTGGGGAGCACTTCAGTTGACCCCCCATCTACCCAACCTCTGGATAGACCATGTGAACCCGAAAGCAATGTCGACGCCAGTCCCCAATCGACAAAGGAAGTTCAGAGTGAAGTTTCTGTACTTCAGTGCTAGAAAGCTTTTGGTGCAGACGGTTAGCATTCAGTGTCCTTCAAAAAGGATGCCAGGTCCCTTGTAGTTAGTCCGTCGCGTTCACTTCAAAATATTTGGAGAATAGTGGCCGAGTGCTTCGGCGTTGGTTCTTATATTCACAAGCTGTTCGAGGACATCATGTGAGAACCATTAGCTAATCAGTCTAACGGATATTGCCTCCAAAGTGTCCCATGACACTATTCTGCATAGGTTGATTCATCATCGGGAGGGTCGTATATGCGAGAACCATGCTGGATTTCGCCGTTGCCAGGGTCACATCGCACTAAAGCTGCACGATTCCCCTGACGGCCAATACCGTTTGACTCCTCCGATCATCATCATCACCATCATCATCATCATCATCGTCGTCGACAGCATGACATCAGTGTTCAACATCGACGCTTCGCTGCCGTACAACCATGTGTTTTGTCCTCTTGGATAAGGATCAGTCAGAGTCGTTAGTTCACAGGAATGGACAATACAAACAACTTCGAGGGAGCTATACTGCAACAAGTGGGCCGTTGCGCGATATGGAATTCAACTGAACCAGGATATAAAGAGGGCTAACAATCCAGTAGGATGTATGTGAGAGGCTGAAGTGTGGAAACAAGGTTTCAGTATACAAGACAGATAGCAAATTGGGTTTGTCCGCTTTGAGGTAGTTCTAACACCGTGATTTATTGGGAAGCCTTATTGTGGAGAAAAGAATAAAGGTGGACGGGGAAGCGACAGTGTTGACTTACTACAATAATTCCTAGGTATCCACACTTCCAGAGACTCATTCAGGCAATCTGCATAGAAACTGACAACAAGAACATCATTGACACCGACTAGCAGCCAACCAGATGCAGTGCGGATCTCGTGGTCTCCATTCTGAAAGGCAAGAAGCACCGACAGCACCCAAACGTTTTGTAACCTCATTCATACAACTCTGTCAGCTCAAGGGTTAGCAACATCTCTGCAGCCGTCAACCTGAATTGAGCATGGAAAGCAGCACTCTTCGGAGAACGAGGGTTCGGCATAAGCAATACATGGTCTAATTAACAGTTTCTGGTGCTGGACACACTCTTCAACGGAAAACTCGCTACAGATACGTATATACCAACCCAGACGAGCTATGGTTCTGAGACAACGACTGTCGAACACCTGAAGACGGTCTCAGTTCCCCTGCTCCAACAGGCCAAGTCTCACAGCCATACAAAACAGCCCGCACTGTAGCTTGATACACGCCCCTTGAGATTCAGGATACACCACTGACGCCATAGATGTCTCAAATTAGCGAACGTGACCCGAACCTTGCGAATTCGTGCATTTACCTCATACGTCACACCACAATCAGAACTGACGTAACTTCAAAGGTACGTAAAACGCCCCACAACATGGAGTGCCTCTCCCTGGATTGTAAGTGAGGTGTTCAGTGACTGCATGTCCAGGAGCATGATCTTACACTTTGTGGATGCAAAGTGCATACCAAAGGACGGAATGAATAGCTAGTTCATAAAAAACAACTGCGCCTTCTCCGGATTGAAAAGGTGAGCAAGCGTGTGAAGAACACATCAGTCAACCGAGTGGAGCGCGCCCTGGAAATCCAGGAATACTAGAGTTGTAGCTCGCTTATACATATGGTGTTCTGGCACCTGACAGTGTGAAGATTTGGTCAATGCAACACCTGCCAGGCCGGAATCCCACTCGCTGCTGCGAGTCAGTG